ACCGGAAACGATTTCTCTAAGCATATTTTTTCCGTTTTTCCATGGACAATTTTTTTTTATTCTTCCCCTACTATTTCGTTTGCAATTTTGTGTTACACCTAACAAAGAAATTTTTTTTTTTTTTTTTTTTTTTTTTTTTCTTTTTATTTTTTCCCCCTAAGAAATCGTAACGATTACAAATTTAGATTCTTATCGATCTAATGTAAGAGAATTTTTCTAAACTTCTGGATTACACTTTATTCTAGAATATTGTATACGGTAGAAAAGAATATCTTCGATTCTAATCGATCGTATTAGGAATCTAGTGAAGAAACCTTTTCGATCGCACGGCACGCCCCCCCTTCCTTCCTTCCTTCATTTTACCTTTTTCGTAACCAATTTAAGGATTACGTGCTTCAAAATTTGAACTCGTTCAACTCGTAAGAATGAATCGCCGATACCGAAAAGATCCTTTCTATTCTTGCTTGCATTTTGCTCGACTAAACAACCAAACAGCATACGTTGTTTGAAATAAAAACCCATTTAGTTTGTTCGTTCCTCTCCCTCTCTTTTTCTTTCTCTTTCTCTTTATGTGATCCGTCGTAAATTATGATCAGTACACAATCGTAAGAAATTTTCCCAAATAATATCTTTATTTTAATAGGAAAAAGAGGAAAAAAAAAAAAAAAAGGAAAGAAAATAACCAGCTTCAACTCTTCTCTTAAATAGGTTACTTAATAGCAAGTCGTATAATTAAATGTTCGTTTACATCTTCTATCATTTTTGTTAATTGAATATGATGCATCGAATAGAATCATAATTTAATACAGTATTAATAATAAATTGAAATTAATATATTGCTAGTATATATTAATTTATATGTAATTAACTATAATTTATGTTTTTTCTGTATAGAAATTCACTGAATAATGATAATTTATATTCTGTAAAAATAAAACCTTTATTTTTTTTTCTTTTGCCATTTAAAATATTAATACAATTTTAACAACTTTATCCGTATACGTACGTACGTACGTATTTATGCACAGATATGATTTTTTATTAGAACAACACTCGCTTTTTAAACTTCTCTTTTAATTTCGCCTATATTGAAACGTATCTCGCAAGGTACGACCTTAATAACCATACCACGCACTCTCACGATATTATCGGAGCAGGGAATCTACCTATTCATCGTCTACGTGCTTTGATTCGGCAATTAATTATTACATCAAGCAAATTACTCTGCTCCATCTTTAACCCCGAAATAGCTACTACCGTTTATCGTAACTATTCGATTATCGCAACGTTTTATTTTTATCCCCCAATCAAAATCGTCACAATTTAAAAAAACATATTGATTACCAAATAAAGAAAACACATTATTTTTATGAATTATAAATAAAACATCAAAATTATAATGTGTTTTCTACAATTTTTATGCGCTTACATAACACTATTCGTAATAAACGATCACCGATTATTAATCATTTATTACCCAACGTTAAATCCCACACACACACTTCTAACAATAAGACATAATCTTTTTCGATGAGATAACTCGATTGTTAAATCCATCCATCGATCTTTTAGTCCATCTTTTTCATCCCAAAGAGACACACACACACAAAATAAAAAAACTACAATAAATAATATTCGAATATAAATCATAAAACGAAAGTTTCCGACTTATTGACGACTTATTCTGGTGTTATAATTACCGATGCGTATACCTGCTGCGTATAATCGAATTCTTAACGTCGAGATTACGGTCAACCGCAATAAAGAATATGGTCGGTAAACGTATAAAAGGTAAATAAGGGATCGGACCGTAACTAATAAGCGAGATCTCTAAGGAAGACCGCAACAATTGTTATGGCGAGATGAGCTTCGACAAACGATCGAAGTTTAACGAGCCGAAGAAGAACCCAAGAACGGACACCGATAAGTCTATTTTCTCTTTCTCTGATTCTCTTGTTCATATACTGTCGATAGGTGTCTCTTGGAACGAACAATATCCTGGATATCTCGAAAGGGGGATGATCGAGCCTGGTATCTCGTTGGTTCGTTCGTTTCGTTCGTTCGTTCATTCGTCGTGTCGCGTTTCCTTTGCAACGATGGATTCGTCATTGGCGCCTTTGTGTAAACCTCTGTTCACTGCGTTTGACACTTCCGATACGATGGCCTCTCTCTCCTATCCTACGTTTGAAATACTATTCTCCCTTTGCGTCTGACACCTTTGATTACCGCTCGGTGGTCTATCGAAAGCTCCTTTAATCTCGTACGGTAGGATCGCCATCGTCCCTTCCTCATCCTCATCCTCTTCCCTGTTTTCTTATTCGTCGTCGTTGTGTACAACGCGACGACACTCGGAAGATTCAAAGGAATAATTTAAACTCGTATTTAGAATTTCCTATTCTAGATTTGACCCCAAACCTAACAATTCTTTTCGATACAAATCTCTTTTTTACCCCATTTTTCTACTTACTTTTAACCGATACCACTCTAAAGGTAACACGTATATAACGGAGATACATTTAGTATATTCTCCAATGTTTCAACATCGATATTATCTGTGCAATTTGATACGTAAGCCATATGTGTAGAATAATTCATTAGTAATTGTGTTATCTAGATTAGTTGTTAATCGTTGATTGAGGTTGAACGATTTAAAATATGATACATTGTGAATAAATTATATTATACAACTTTTTCCCTTTGTACTATCAAGAGTTAATTTAATCATTTGGTTTATGTTAATTTGTTAATTATTTTGTGTGTGTATGTGTGAATATATATAAATAGATACTCTTTATTTTATTAAATTTATATATGAAACAATAAAAATAGATAATAAGAATATATATTAACGTTTAATATCCAACTAAATAATTGAAATCTCTTAAGAAGATTGATTTTACGATATATCGATTCTTAATACTATTATATTAGTTTTAAATATATTCTACGTACGTTAAATGAAAACTGTGATACGTATAATGAAAAGATTATAAAATCTGTTCTGATCGAATAAGTCAAAAAGAAAAGAAAAATACGGAAAGTTAACAACAGGTTTTCTGATTATAGTCGGCATCCACCTCTTATTTTCCTGCTATTCTACGTTCTTCTTTTCCTTTACCTTTGCTGGAGTTACCAAAGCCTCGGGACCATGTATCGAGAAAAGGAAAACGAGAAAAAAGCTCGGTAGGGGGTGTTAGAAAGAAAAAAGAACAGAGAAAAAGAAATGCAACAAGAACGGAATCCAGTGGCGGGAACGAAGGAGAATGTTTATCGTGGCCTTAGGATGAAAAGAAACCTTACCGACCAAGGAACAAACGGGAAATACGACATATAAATTTGAGTAAGATAAAAGGTACATTATGTCTATGTACTTACTGGCTTTTTGCTTTTTTTTTTATATACACAACCGATGCAAATTATTTTACTATTTTACGAAATGATTGAAAATTGGCCTAAATTAATACCCTATCCAATTTTTCTTAATATATTCGTATAGGAAATTAATTATTTGTTAAAAAAAAAAAAAGACAAATTCATAATTACGTTCAATTCGATTTTATCATCAATCAATAAAAATTGATCATTCCGATGAAGCTAATTTAAGATTGAAATATTTTCAATGCATTTAAGTAAACTTTTGTTACAATTTATCGTAATGTTCTTTCTAATAAAATCGATTTATTTTCGTTATTTTTTTTCTTTTCTTTTTTTTTTTTAGAGAGAGAAAATAAACTACCGGCAATTTATTTCTTTCATTTATTCGGCAAATTTTAGAATTTTTCTACGTGCTAAAATAAATCGGACCGGTGGCGCATGCATATACGTGAATGGGTTGAAAAGTTTTGAGTCTAACATAAAAACAATTTTTTGTTTCGATCAAACCCATTGTTTTCTTTTCTTTTCTTTTTTTTTTTTTTTTTCCCCTCGACGTAGTCACCAAACTTTTCAATCCATCCACGTATATTTTTTTTCTTCTCCAATTTTTAAATATACACAAATATAAATAAAATAGTAAAAATGTTTACTGAAAAATCGTTCGTGAAATTACATTCGGATAAATCCCGTTGGTACATTGCGAAAATTATTGAAATGAGACAGAAAGAAAGAAAGAGGGAAGTACGTTAAAAGCGATGTTCAATACAAATCGTTCAAAAGGAAAAGGCGGGAGACGATGATGGACGATAAGTAGAAAAATCAACGTGAACGGAAAAAAAAAAAAAATAACACGCGTTAGAAAGAATAAAAAATAATATCTTTTAAAGGATTTTCAAAGAAAAAACTAATATTTAAAAAAAGAAAAAAAAAGAGAAGAGAAATCTAGACACTAGCACTCGGGAGATGTTGGTTTCGATCGATAATCGATTAAATTCTTTCTCTTACATTAGACGAGAAAATATTGTTGAAAGATGTGGCCTTTCTCTCTCTTTATTTTTTATTCTAAATCATTTATTTACAAATGGAATTAAAACGATTGTAAGAATCGTTAGAAGTAAAAAATTAAAAAATAAAAAAAAGTAAAGAACAAATTATAAACGTTTGGGTTGTAACTCTCGTAATAATGTTGTTTGATAGAACTGTAAGTGAAAAATGTTAACAAGGAAACGTTAAGTGTCACGTTACTATCGTAAGCAATCAAGAAATGTTGTCGTTAGCTATTAAAACTAACTTGTTGGTCGTTATCCGAGAAATATCGAGAAATATCGAGAAATGTCGAGAAATGTAAAAGGAAATTATTGACGATCGTGTTATTATTATCGGTCGGTGCGAATCGATTGTTAAAAGTAAGTAAGTAAGTAAGTAAATAAGTAAATAAATAAATAAGTAAGTAAGTAAGTAAATGCATAATAAAAATACAAATAGTAATAACAATATTAAGTTGTGTTATTAGAAAAATGAAATACGATTAAAAAGACAAATAGATAGATAGAAAGAGAAAGAAAAAAAAAAAAATTAAAACGAAGATAGCAATAGACTCACCGGAATGACAGGTGTTGCGAAGTGCTCGATGACGTCACTGTTCCCGTTCAAGCCAATCGAAGTAATAATAGAATTAGCATTAGCATTGGAATTAGAAGAAATATTATTATCCACATTAACGAACAGAGTTTCACTAACGATCTCATCGTACACATCATCACCGTTTATCATCATCGACATATCGTTATGAAATAATCGTCGATCATTATCATTGTAAAAAGAAGAAGAGGATGGTAAAGAGGAGGACTCGTCGTTGCATTCGATCCTCCTCGTTGTCGTCGTTGTCGTAGTCATCGTCGTAGTCATAGTCGTAGTAGTCGTCATCGTCGTCGTCGTCGTGGTGAGCATGGCACACCTCTTCTTCTCCATGGTATCGCGCGTCGCGACGCCGACGGCCGATATGATCATCGCGTCGCGACGCCTTCCTTCTGCCTATCAACAACTTCTAACACCGACTGATGTTGACGCTGCTGGTGCTGCTGGTGCTGCTGCAGATGATGATGATGATGAGGATGACGACGATGATGCAGGTGCTGTTGGTGTTGATGATGTTTTAGCCGATGTTCCAGCTGATGTTGTAATTTTTCCACCACCACAACCACCACCACTACTACTATTATTATTATTATTATTATTATTATTACTACTACTAATTCTTCTTCTTCTTTTTCTTCTTCTTTCGAAACTCGCTCGTATTCGCGCGCGAGCATTCCTTGTCGCGCGACCCAAAAAATAATTCAGCCTCTTCCACCGTCGAGATAATATCCGTCGTCGTCTTATTCTCAATGTCACGACGACGAAGACGCATATATGTTAACGTCCACTCCGTTACTACTTACTGAATGAACTCTACTGCTGCTCCTCCTCCTCCTCCTCCTCCACCTCCTTCTTTTTCCTTTTCTAATTCTTTTTCTTTTTCTTCTTCTCTCCCGCTTCGTATCTTTTTTATCGCTCTCCTTTTTTCTCTATTTTATTTTCTATCAATGATTTTCTTCACTTCGCGACGATTTATCACTTGATATAATTATCGTTGACAACGTGCTCTAATATAAGGAAATATTATTTACGTTTGATCTAAACAAAACGTAAAAAAAAAAAAGAAAAGGATAGTAATAGATCACGCACTTGTTAAATAAAACCAAGGAGAGAGAAAGAGAGAGAGAGAGAGAGAAAGTGATGAAGAGAGAGAGAGAGAAAGAGAGAGAGAGAGACAGGCAGACAGATAGAGAAAAATATGAAGGCCGGTCGGTAAGGAAAAAACTTAAAAAAAAAAACACACGATACGAAATAAAAGACGAGGACGAACGATATACAGATACGAGACGACGAGACGAACGACAAGTAGAAACGCACGTCCTCCTAGCCGTGACACGGAGGGCAAACTGTCGTTCGGTATGCGCTCGGGCCGCACCAGCGACGTCTCTCAGCGGCGCGTCAAAAAACTGAAACTCGGTGGCGCCACGCCATCGACGATCGACACGCCCCCATGCTGCACCAACGTGCACTACTCTCTCCCCACTCTACTTCTCTATTTCACTCACTCTCTCTCTCTCTCTTTCTTACTCAATCTCTTACTCACTCGCACTAGTGTTATGTACGCGAAAAGATTGCGAGCTAGGGAAAGCTTTAAACGAGAATCGAACTCGAACAAAATAAATTCTTCAAATCGGTAATATTATATTCGAATATTTTCTCTCGTATTATTATATCGATCGAATTATTAAACTAATAATTTTGTTAAATCGTGAACGAATAAAAAAATTATTTATCTATATTATTATTATTCAACAAAAATCGAATTATAATAAGAAAGATTTAACTTTCGAAACGGAAGAAAACTCGAATCCTTCCATCGATCTGCGCTCGTCACCGAGGCGCACTCGCGCATCACTACACAACTACAGGAACACATCTACAGCACACTGCTACTACTGACGAGAGACACGCACGAGAAGCTACTACTCTCTTGAAACTCGCTTGTCCGTCCAAGCAGAGAGAGAGAGAGAGAAAGAGATAGAGAGAGAGAGAGAGAGAGAGAGTGAGAGAGAGCCATGGGGAGTAGTAGTCGTAGTAGACAGTTTGCCCCACCCCGAGACATCTCTGGCACCTTCGGCACCCTTTTCCAGGGTCTCTTCGGTTCAACTGCAATTCGTCCTCGATCCTCGATCTCAAGTACGATTTTAAACTTGCCATCTTCGTCCCACGAGTTATATCTTTTCTAAAACTACCCTTCTATTCCCTATCCTCCACCACCTCTCTCGTACATGGTAGATACTATTTACTTACATACATATTACGTTCTCTTTCAACGATAAGTTTCATTGGCGTTACCGCCCTCCATTCCCGATTTTATTCCCATTTTCCTCTTCTTCTTCTTCTTCTTCTTCTTCTTTTTCTTCTTCTTCGTCTGTATTCTGTCCGATTTCTCTGGCTGAAACAGCACTACGTGGTGTATCTAACAAATGAAAGCCCCTCAAACGCCAGCTAGAGAGAGAAAGAGAGAGAGAGAGAGAGAGTGAGAGAGAGTTTAGAATTTTCGCGAAGAAAATACATTGAACTTTTTACGAGTCCCACCTCTCTCCTCTGCTACAATTTCTACTTTTTCAAATGCTATTTACTTTATGATCTTTCTTATTTTTTTTTTCTTTTTTACGCAACTGACGTTTCCTAAAATACTTTTATCGTATATTCTGTCCTATCCTATTTTTTTTTTATTTCTTCCATTAAATTCTTTTCCTAATAATCATCTAACACGAATTGACAAACGATAGAGCGTAGATTTTATCATTAGAAAAATAACATATGACACACACGATGAACGTTTTCATTTAAAAATAATTTACGTCGATAATCTTAGTGAGCATTGATATGCTATGATGAAAATCATTAAAAATATTGTCATATTTTATTAGTTTTAGGCAGTTCGTTATCACCTCTATTGTCCACCCCCTTGGTCGGAATATTCTTTTTTTATTATTTTCCACCCCAGGCACTTGGTTTCGCTTCTTATCGCTCTTCCCTTACCACCACGGTCGTTCTTCTCCTTTCTCATCTCCTCGGAATCTTTGCGAAATCCCACGACTTTGTGGCCACGCCCCCCCCCTTCCCTTCTTTCCTCCCCCTATTCCTCCACCACCTTCCTTCTCTTCTTCGAACACCTACCCCAGAAGTCCAACGTCGAGGGTTGGTGTAGGTATCTTCTTCCTCGAGGTCAATGCTTCCGAGACGAGCGATGCGCTTACGATGGAATTAAAAGATGGAAGAGTGGTAGTTACGCTTCGAGATTTGCGATAATATATTTTTCGAAGATCGTTGAACTTTCTCATCCTCTTCTTATTTTCGATTAAAAAACGGGAAAGAAGGATACGCTCGATCGAGTTTCAGTCTTTCGAAAGAGGAACTTTTCCCCCCAAAAATATTCCAAATCGTACATCGAACGTTGATTTAAAAGTCTCGACGTTTTCTTTAAAAAACAAAAAGAAACACAAAACAAGCGCATTTGTGTACGCGCAATTTTGCATGTCTCTCCTTCCCTCCCCCTTTCTCTCTCTCTCACCCTCACTCTATTTCTTTGCTATCTCTTTTTCGTTCTTTAGAAGCACTTTTGTAAATTGCTTCGTAACTTTGGTTCCGTCGATGAACGAATCGATACGCATTTCCGTTCCCATCGATGGGGTCCGTTCGAGGCTATCAAGCTATCTCCGAAATCGTTCTTAAAAATAAAAAAAACGAGACAACAAAATATAAAATAAAAATAATAATAAAAAAGGTGCTCGAACGGAATCGTTAGTATTAAAAGTAGTGACTCGACGATATTGCAAAAGCGGAATGCCACGTGACAGAGAAAGAAAGAAAGAAAGAAAAAAATAATAATAGACGCGTAAATGTTGCTAAAGTTTACGCAACAAAAATTATAGTCAAGAATAGAAAGAAGATAGAGACAGCAAGAGAGGGACCAGGTAGATTTTCTCCGGGCCATTTTAACGGGTCGTGAGATATCGATGAAAGGGTCTTCTGGTACGATGTTTCCGAAACATTCTCCGTTACGGAATAAGGGATGGAAGATGGGGTTGATGGTATGTGTGCGTTTGGTGTCAGGGGGTAAGAGTTGAAGAGGGTGGAGATGGTTATGGCAAAGTCCAGCGAGGAAATTCGGCTGTGAGTCTCGTGCCTCGGAGCGTATCTGGAGCTCGCCCTTCGACATCAGCACAACCACCATAACCACCGGCACCATCATCTCGACGACGGAAAAGGAAAGGATGGAAGAGGGTGTGGAGGAGGATGAGGATAGAAGGGTAGATGGAACGGGCAAACGGGTAAGTCGGGCAAAATCTCGCGTTTCCCTCCGGAATTCGAGCCCCGTCATGCCGGCGCATCGCGTGGCATCGTTCTACGTCCTGATGCACCACTATCCCTCTTCTTCCCGTCTATGTATGTCCAACCCTCCAGTCACCCTGCTGCACACCACCAGTACGTACCTCCACCCTTGGGATCGAACCTCGTAAAATTGGATTTGCGCACGGCGTACGCTCGATTTATCCTATCGACCCGATCGATATATGAATGTACATACATATATACCTTCACATATCTATATACATACGTATATATATACATATATATTAGTGTATATGTATATATGACTGTATGTGTACATCGTAGAAACACGAAGAACCAAGATCTTCTTCGATTTCACGACCATGGGTTATCAATGCTCTTTTTCGCGTAATCGCTTTCTTCCTTTCGTTCTTACTTTCGATGATGACCCACACTTATATATACAGATGTATATATATATATACGAGTATATATACTTACACAGAGAAAAAAAGCGACATATAGATTTCGAGTTACCGCTTTGATTTCCTACAGATTTTACTCTGTTTCGTTTCCTACGATTTCTACGATAAAACGCGAGATAAGGAGGTACCAATCGATCCTACGATCTCGATTCTCCGTTAAAAGAATGTTTCTAAATCGAACGATGCTTTCTCTCTTTCTCTATCTTTTTATCTTTCTCTTTCTACCTCTATCTATCTTGCTTTTTGTCGCTACGGAAGATTTATCGATTCTGCGGAAGAAAGCGTCCAATCGTTTTGCATTGTTACGAGAAACCACTTCGTCCTACGATTCGTTAAAGCAAAATTGTTCGTAATTATTTATCAGACGAAGAGAGAGAGAGAGAGAAAGAGAGAGAGAGAGAGAGTAAATCTATGCTCTACATTTAACAAATCCTTTTACCAAATGACTCGATCGGATTGTGATATATTACATAACATTACACAATATCACTTTATTACGACTTGGAGAAACCCTTAAAGGAAGAAAGAAAGAAAGAAAGAAGAAGAAAGAAAAAAAAAAGAGACAACATAATAAAACGGAGAAAGAAAAGGGATCGACTAAAGCTTGACAAAAAAAGTAAAGTGCGGAAATGAATTTTTGGGAAAATCCTTTTCTCCTTTGTGAAGAATTAACTTGATATTCTGGAAAGGACATAGATGGTAGTATTAGTGGTGGTGGTGATGATGACGATGGCAATGGTGGTTTGTGGTCGCTCGCAAAGGCGCCAGGCTAAAGTTCCTTCGCAATAATTTACTCTAATCCCTGAGAACGATCCCATCGAAGATCCGCCGGAAGTTGCAGGTTCTCTCACAAACGAGAAAGAACGTACGTACGAACGAACGTAACGAGAGAAAGAAAGAGAAAATACGATATGGGTAGCTGGGGGTGGGGAGTGGGGGAGTAGGACGTTTAGGTTGGTGTAGCAAACATTTTGGTCGTGAAAAGAACGAGGAGTGTTAGATGAGAGGGTTGAAATCCTATGGCAAAGGAAAAGTTTTCGTCTGTTGTGGGACGTCATAACGTTGCTGTGCACGTGCACGAGAAACCGCATGTGCTATCGAGGGTAGTAGACGCGATCGAGACGG